AACTTTCGTGTCTACCCAGAAAGACCTGGTGATCTGCTTCTGAAAAATCAGCCCTTGAAACCATATGGAATCAGTTCTGTGACAAACATGGGTCATCATGAGTTGGAATTGACTTGACAGCATTTGGTTACTGGTTAAAGAAACATAACAAGTAAATATAAAGTGTGGACCTTGCTTAAGTTCTGGATTTGGGCAGAAAGAGGATGGACCAATTACAAAAGATACTTTGTGGGGACGTTGGGAAAATAGGATTTGCGCTGTTTTCATAGAATTTTCTAGGTCCTTAAACTAAAGTTCTAAGGAGCTCTGGTAGCGTAGTGGTTACGAATCGGGCTGCGAACCTTAAGGTCAGCGGTTCGAAACTACCAGCCGCTCCGCGGGAGAAAGATGAGGCTTTCTACTCCCGTAAAGATTTACACCCTCGGAAACCCTGTACAGGGTCGCTATGGGTCGGACCCGACTCGATGGCACTTAACAACAACAACAACAACAAACTAAAGTTCTAAAGGGACTGTAATGAATGCAAGGAGATAGGTTTCTGAGCATAAGAAAATGTATGCATCTACTCTTCACTTAACGACATGGTTAGATTCCAAACACTAGGTCATTACGTGACTATCGGTGTTCTGTGAAAATGGAAGTTGACCACATCAGTACATAAACACCAAATTACATCAGTACATAAATGCCAGATTACATCATTACGTAAATGTCAAACGGAGTTCTGATGGAGCAGGGGCAAAGTGCCTGACTGCTAACCAAAAAAAAGTCGGAAGTTCAAACTCAGCACGTGCTCTGCAGGAGAAAGGTGTGGCAGCCTGCTTCCAGAAAGATTACAGCCTTGGAAACCTTCGGGATAGTTCTATTCTGAAATCGACTTGACAGAAATGGGGTATAGCTTCCATTGCTAGCTATCATCACGTAATTTCCGAAGCCCCAAGAGTCACGGTTCAGCCACACTGACACAGAACCTTAACCATCACAGCCAGCGTTACTCTTGTCTCATACCTCTGCCTCCATTACTGGCAGACCACATGTCGCTGATGGACAAAATAATTGGATAGTAGATTTTTTGCTATTGTCATAAATGCAAAGTGTCAGATCACAAGACGGGTGATAAGCAAGGAGAAAGCGTCTCGAGGGAAAGACACAAAACCTTTCAGGTACTTCCTGTTAAAATCTAATGAGATAAAACATGGTAAAGCTACTTCAAACTTTTTTACAAAAGTTTTATTTTGGTGTCTTGCTATAATTTCATCTGGATATATGAGTCATATGTTGTGTGGTTATCTTCTCAGCATATCTGGGGTCTTCCTGATAAAGACAGGAAATTCTTTGTGCCATTCAGGGAGAATAACGGCAAAATACTGCTGTAGAATTGCAGGGGTGTGTGTCTCTGGATGGGGTGTTGTGTACCCCTACTACTACATGTCTTTGACTGAATCTTCTATCAGAGTTTAGTAGTTTTGGTAGGTTGCATTTTGATTGCAATGCCTCCCTCCCTTACTGCACTGTAAACTCAAGGACAGCAGGGAATTCTGTATCTTGCAGAGAACTCTCTTAGCGAGCTCTCAGTTAATTCTTAAAAGTTTGTCGAACTGAATTGAAATCCAGTTGGTCACATGGCAACAATTAGGTTTGTCACTATCAAGTAAACTAAAATCTTATGAATGTGAAAACAGTCATATCTTGTGACATGCAGATGTGCTCTGGCACCAGTTTCATTCGTAGCTCTTTCAGATTGCAGACTTTTAACAGTGAGATTTAGACAAATAAGAATTTCTTTATACACCCCACCGCATGAATTACAACATGGGTGCCCAACACTGTGATAGTCATACTATGTCCCTAGAGTTACTGACATGGTTCTCTCAACTCCTGGTGAGCTTTGTCACCTCTGTCTTCTGTCTAATGCTTTTACTTAGTTTTGGGGGAGATGTGTCAGCCCAATTTTTGTTGTTGTTAATTATCTAACAAATCTTCTTTTTAAAAACCAGAACTGTTCTGCTCTCCAAGAAGTAGGAATCCTCTTTATAACTGGGAATTGTATCCTAGATAACTCTGCAATCCTAATATTGGTGTGTTTGCTATCACCACCTGTGGCCATCACTATGGTGACTTGCATGTTGTTGTGATGCTGGAAACTCTGCTACCAGTATTTCAAATACAGTGAGGTCCCCCACGGTGGACTTGTTCCCTGACTCAGCAGAGCTTCCTGACTAAGACTAGGAAGAAAGACATGGTGATCTACTTCCGGAAATCAGCCAATGAAAACCTTATGGATCACAATGAATATTGTCAGAATTGCTTGCTTTAAGCAAATCATCAGGAAGGACTAATTGCTGGAGAAGGAATTCATGTTTGGCTAAGTAGTCAACGTGGGTGAAGGAGAACCTTGGTGAGATGGACCGGCACGATGCTCACACGGTGGACTGGGGCATGCAGGCAATGTGGGGGCGATGTAGGACAAGAGAACACTTCATTCTTTGTACACAAGATCACATGAATCAGAATCAACTTGATGGCATCTATCTTTGTTTTCTACAGTGTACAATGGATTCAGATCTCATGCAGCTCAAGGGAGCAGTGGGACACTGGTCTGAAGGTCCACTTGAGATGTGGATGAATTGATCCAAACATCATCAGAACCCAAAGGTTTTAAAAACATTAGGTGGGATGTGGGTATTTATACCAATCTATTCTCTAACCTGGTTTGGCGTTGTGGGTTAATGCACCAGACTGCAAAGTCATTTGAACTGCAAGGTTGGTGGTTCAAGCTCACCAGCTGCTCCTTGGAAACCCTATACAGGGTTGCTATGGGTCGGAATCAGCTTGATAGCACTTCACAACAACAACAACATTCTCTAACCATGCATCAGTCATTAGTGGGCCAAGTGACTTAAGAATTAATTACACTGCACCTTGTAGCAGAAAAGATCTAAAATATTTTTAATACAATCAAACCTGTGAGAGCCAGAAGTTGATGGGACAACCTTGTTTCTGGATCTCACAAGTTTTTTTACTCTTGACAGGGTGAAGTCTTACTATCCTATTGCTTATTTGCGTTTTTCTTCTCTGAACGGGTTTCTGCCCTACACATATTCTGGCTTTTGTAGGTTTTACTGTAAATGTTTTCTATAAATTCATGAAGCATTAAAAAAGTAGAAAATCATAATCAAGAAAAACTTACATCTGAAGGGAGAGGGGGATCAAGGGAAGGAAAGAGTTGAACACCTGTCTACAGGCCATGAAACACAGTTGTCAGAGTTGGTCTCTGTGGCGCGGAAATTCCTGGCAACCAAAGCCAAGAGGGAATCTTGAAAAGGTACCTGCTTTTCACCAGTCACAAAGGGAAATACATTCCATTTCTTGAAGGAAAGAATGCTATGATGGATGCCCACGTCTTACTTGTATTTATACCCTGCACCCCACAGCGTTCAGTGACTTAAAACGCCCTTTTCCTACTATCACTTAATTCTAGAAGCCACTACCTGTCTGTGTGTCGTACTGTGGTGGTTTATGTGCTGCGGTGATGCTGGAAGATATGCCACCTGTATTTCAAAACACCAGCAGGGTCACCCATGTTGAACAGGTTTCAGTGGCACTTTCAGACTCAGAGACTAGGAAGAAAGACCTGGCAATCTATTTCCAAAAAATCAGACAATGAAAACTCTAAGGATCACAAAATATCAGCTGAGACTTTGACTCACTTACTTTGGATGAGTCGTGAGACCTGATTGCTGGAGAAGGTAGGGCATCATGTGAGGTATGGTGGAAGACCAGCAAAGGCTAAGGAGACCCTAGATAACACAGTGACCACAGCCACAGACTCAGACATACCAACTGTCCCGTGGTCCTGAAGATGGCTCAGGACCAAGCAACTGTCAACTCCAACCATCAACTGGAGCTGAGTTGATGAAAACTATTAGCAATTTTCAAAGAAATTTCTCTTGTAGAGAGTTTCATACCAGGGACCCTGGGTGATTCAGGGGGCAGGATCCTTAATGTTGGGCCTGGAGTCAATAAGTGCTAGGTTTCACCAATCTGTCTCTTATTGTAGCCCACATAACACAGAAAGATAACTCAGGAAAGTAAGTACTCCTGGGGTGCAGGTGGAACGGCAAGCTCAAGTGATCTAAGATTGTCTATTTCTGAGGGATGTGCTTGGTCCAGAATAAAGTCCACAGTATCTATGGATGGACCGTGTGTCCTCTAAATACATCTCCACAAATACCATTTCTCTACATTAAAGTTTTTATGATCATTACCCAGCTCATGATTGTGTTCAAGGTTACTTGGCTGGGGCCAGAAGTGCAGATGTTACGGTCCTTCCTTGGGTTTGTGTTGAACTACTAAACTCTGGATTGGCAGTTCTAACTGGTGCCATGGAATAAAGACCAGCCAAGAAAACCCTATGGAGCAGTTCTACCTGTAACACAACTCGCCGTGAGTTGGCTGTCTGGTTTGGGCAGAGCCAAACCAGTAGAGGGGGATCCCTTCTCCATGGCCAGACCTCTGAAATGGAGGGCAGACAACAAACGGGGCAACAGCGGAAATGTCAGACTGTCCTTACCCCAGGGAAACCACCATCACTGTCAGCTGGGGAGACATTTATTACTGTGTAATCCACACCCATGTGGAAATGTAGCATAGTGCTGAGCATAGTGTGTGGGATACCTGGCTAGCAATGGGCAAGGGTGGTGGGTGGGGGAACCAGGGTGAGTGGGGGAACCAGGAGGCACTGAGCAACCAAGGAACAGATTTGCAATGTTCTTTGGGGCTACTCCCCACCCCCAGCCCATGGTATGGCTGGGGCTCTGTGACTGTTTCCACAGCTGAGGTTTACAGTGTGGTACTTTCATTTTCTGATATTTGGAGCAGATCAGATGAAAGCCTCCGTTGCTCACCTTCACCCACCCACCATCCCATAACTGCCAGCTGACTCTTGGACAGACGTGGGCAACGACCCCATCACCATCATCCTTAGTGGGTGCAGTTACCTGGAACTTCTCCTCATAGTTCTCAAAGGCTTCCATGACCATGCACACAGCCTCCATGGAGCGCTCCAGCCGGCGATCCACCCCGTTAAAGCGGTACATGCTGCCAGACACATCCACAACCAGGCTCAGACGTTTGGGTTTCTGTTGCGGGCTGCCCAGCTGAGGAGGGAACAGAAGAAAGGCTTGAGCTAAAGAGCACTGCAGGCTACTGTCCTGGGGATCCAGCAGGGCCAAGGGCAGCTGGAGGCTTCCTCTGGATTCAATTTCAGTAAACAGAGCTTCAATCAGATTTCTGCTGGTAGTCAGGGCCTTAGGGCAGAGACTTGCCCTTGGAACAAGGTCTTCTCCAGGGGGTCCAACCTAGCTTAGTAAAGTTGTCTTCAGAGGCTGATGCTTTCTTAAAATTAATCATCTGAAAAGACATGACGCTCCAATTTGCCCTTTAGAGTCAGTGACTCCCCAAGAGTTTCCATTATTTTGGAGGGAAAAAAATCCACATTGATATTACTTGTTCCTATTGTGTGTTGTTGTTAGGTGCCTTCTAGGTGGTTTCGACTCATAGGAACCCCATGTGACAGAGTGGAACTGCCCCAAAGGGTTTGCCTGGCTGTAATCTTTACGGGAACACATCACCAGGTCTTTCTCCCTGGGTGGATAGTTAGCAGCTGAGTGCTTAACCAATGCACCACCAGGGTTCCTTAGTTACTGTGTTGTTGTTGTCAAGTGCCATCGAGTTGGTCTCGTCTTAGACCCTGTATAGGGTTTCTGAGGAGTGACTGGTGGCTTTGAACTGCTGACCTTGGGGTTAGCAAGTCCAGTGCTGATCCCACAGCGCCATGGCAGGACCCCTTACTTGTTGTGTAATACCTGAACATCATTTTGCACACAGGCCACAAGAAATGTCAGATTCCTAAAACAAGGTTGTTTGAGAGATAATCTGGTAAAGAAATTGAGGAAAATGTCTTTTATCTTTAGAAAGCTTTCAATTTTCTCTTCCTCCCTGCCATTTTCCTTTTCCTTTTTTTTTTTTAAATTTTCCTTTCTTGGTAAAAACACGGAAGTGGCATTTATCTAGCAACAACAGCCAATTAAAATATGAGGCGCTCATGAGATCCAGGTCCATTTTGGACTCATGTCTGCAAATTCAAAGAATTTAAAGAAAACACTGTCAGTTTTATAATAAAACATTTTTAAGGGAAGGAAAAGAGTCAGATGATTCTGTTACTATGTACTTGCTGATATGTATTGAAACTAATAAAGCAGAGTAAGTAATTTCAAGATGACATGGTAGGTATCATAGTGCAATGGTTTGAGACAAATTCAATATATTTCTTACTGAGTCTGCCTAAATTAAGAACAGTACTACATACGCTTCTATGACTAATCACGATTTCAGATGTATCTAAATACAAGTGTTGACCACAATGAGTCAGGAAAGAAAACAGCCATTGACTCATCTCAGTGACACAGAAATGAGAACGCCCCAAATTACCAACAGATCATCTCAGAATAAACATTTAAATGGGGCAAACGGGCGAGTGCGTGGACACACACACACACACACACCTCTTGCCAGTCACTGCACCCCAGTTCTCAGTGGTTACCCAGCAACTCCCCATATTTAGGGATATGATGGGGCTTCAAAAGGTTTGTGGCAAAATGACATGGAAAAAGAATGCAATTTTCCCAGGAGCTTTTAGAAGCTTCCTCATATATGAAATCACAGATCTCTCTAGGAGACAAGATATTTTACCTTAACTCCTTTTTCCTGGCTGCTGTTTTGAAAACATTTAAAAATTATGGCTATCTAAGACTTTACATACTACAATTAAAGTAATTTCAGGGAGAATACCTTATTTTCGAAACTTTTTTCCTTCTGTGGTATGATCAAGGAAGTTCTTCAAAGAAACCTAACCATAGGAAACCAGGAAGATTGTTCTAGTCTTTCTGCAGGAATCACCCTCTGGGATTAATCGACACAGACAAGCTGGATGTCTTCAGTTTCCCTCCAGGGTCCCTGCTCCCCTTCCTGGGAGGCTGATCTGTACCAACACTATCAACGGTGCCAACACTTCTCTGGGCTGCCAGTTTCCAGTGGGTTCTGTGGATGGGAGGCACTGGCAGAAGACAAGAGAAGACGTTGGGATATCTATTCCTCTCTGGTATTGCCCACGGATTGGCTCCCCCTCTACTGAAGGCCAGAGCTTCAGTCAGGTGACCCTTTCCATAGACTTCCTTCTCCAGCTTCTTATAACCGCTCTTTCTCTGCCTTCTTAGGCCTAGAAGTTAGGCTAGATACTACTGTCTGTTCCCAGTTCTGGTAGGCTGTACTATCTCTTTTGGATTTTCCTAACCCCACACCTACCTTTATAAATTGTCTTTTTTATTAAACGTTCTGCAAATTACCCAATAGGGGTGTCCTGTGTTTCTTGCTGGGACTCTAACTCACACAATAATAGTATAATATTTATATTTTTTTCTAAGATGCTTTTATGGTTGCCATATTCAGGATTCATGGTGTTTTGAGAAAGATAGCAACTCAAGGAAGCAGGTTTCTATAAGAAGGTGGCATGATGCAGATCTAAGGTTGTCCAGGACATACCTGTGGCTCCAGCTCGCCCCGGCGCTTGTAGATGGCTTTTTCTCCAGTCAGCCCATCGATGATCTTGGCGTCATCTAGTTCTCCTGTAGCTTGGTGCCGGAGCCATTGTCTTTCTTTACCTTTAGCCTACAATGACACACACACACACACACATACATCCTTGTTTTAATTAGTTCTGTGGTATCTCTGACACACTTTTATGCATGAAAAACAGGAAACACCAGAAAAACAAAACAAAAACAAACTCATTGTTGTAGAGTTGATTCTGACTCATGGCAAAGCTATAGGATGGAATAGAACAATCCCACAGGGATGCCAAGACGTTACATCTTTACAGAAGCAAATGGCCACACTTTTCTCCCAAAGACTGACCACTGGGTTTGAACCATTGACCTTTTGGTTAGCAGCAAGGGCTTTAACTATGTACCACCAAGGTTTCTCCAAGAAGCACACCCAGAATCTTTTTCGGTGTGCCTTAAAGTGATGGTTCTGCATTACCACAAGCTAGACTGGTTTCTGCTCCAATGACAGATGTTCTTTGTCTGGATTAATTGCTTTCACATATGGAACAATAATAAGAGCTCCTTTACTGCATGGACCAATGGGAAACTGTATGCAAATGAACCCCTGGGACATGTGTACGATCTGGAAATGTAATGGTGATGCATTTTTAAAGGATTTTCTATCCTAATTCTCTGAGGCAATTTATTTGGAAACTAAATAATCAGCTTAAACTTGACATTGTCTGCAAGCACAGAGAACGTGATTTTCAGAACTCTTCCTCTTGAAAATTAATTTTTTACTCATGTTCTCTGTGTAAACGGAGACAGCGGAAAGCCACCAAACATGAACATTTTGCGCCTCTTTGTCTCTTTGATTGTCTGTACTCAGAAATTTGGAGCACAGTGGCTCTGTAAACTAAGCACTGGACAGGGAACCACAAGGTCAGCGGTTCAAGCCCACCAGCCTCTCAGTGGGAGAAAGATGAGGCTTTCTCCTCCTGTAAAGATGTACAGTCTGGAAACCTGATACAGGGTTGCTAAGAGTTGAAACCAACTCCACGGCACTTACCAACAACCACCACAATCCAGGAGTCTTCTGAATTACTCTTTTAGAGGTATTTCCAAATAATACTTAACATTAAAATTTGCCCGGTAGACTAAGGTGGTAACGAATTTTAATAGCATAGTGGTTACGAATCGGGCTGTGAATCGCCAAGGTCAGCAGTTCGAAACTACCAGCTGTTCCACAGGAGAAAGATGAGGCTTTCTGCTCCCGTAAAGATTTACAGCCTCGGAAACCCTGTACAGGGTCGCTATGAGTCGGTACCGACTCCATGGCACATAACAACAACAATCCAGGCACATGCTTACTGCAGTCAGAGAAGGATATGAGAGGCAAGAAGAACAGCTAAAATTCCTTAAGCATAAAAAACTAATAGTAATAAAAAGAGTAAAGGTAAGATTATGTGCTTTGGAGTCAGCCAGCTTGGTTCCAGCCCTCCCTTCACCACTTATCAGCTGTGTGACCTCAGGCAAGTCACTTAGCCAGTCAGCGTCTCAGTCACCTACTTTAGTGAGTGACTCAGAAGACTAAATGTGATACTACACGGAACTGATGCATTTGAGTGATGGTGTTAGAGAAGAATATTGAAAGTACCACAGACTGCCAGAAGAACAAACAAATCTGTGCTGGAAGAAGTCTAGCCAGAATGCTTCTCAGAAGCCAGGATGCTGAGACATTGTCTTTCATATTTTGGATATGTGATTAGGAGGGACCAGTTCCTAAAGAGGAGTCCTGGTGTGGTGCTGTGCGTTAATGCGCTGGACTGCAAGGTCGGTTTGAACCTCAAGGTTGATGGTTCAAGCTCACCAGTCACTCCTTGGAAACCCTATACAGGGTCACTATGAGGCAGAACCGACTCGATGGCCCTTAACAACAGCAAGGACAGTCCCCAGAGAAGGACATTATGCTCAGTAAAATGGATTGTCAGCAAAAAAGAGGAAGATGGATTGCCACAGTGGCAGCGGCAGCAGTGGGCTCAAGCTTAACAACAATTGTGAGGAGGGTGCAGGATGAGGCATTGTTTCCTTCTGTTGTGAATGGGGTTTTGCTATTAGCCGGAACCGGTTTGGTGGCACCTAGCAACAACAACAACAACAACAACAACAGCACATGGAACGGGCTGAGAAAGAGCTTGGCAATATATGTTAAGTGTAATGATAAAATAGCCACTTGTTTAATTAAGACCAGGTGGAACACAGGATGGACAACTACATCACAGTAATCCCGGCATGATTCCGTCACATTTCATTGGTGGTAGCTGGGTGAAAACACAAAGCTACCCTCCAGGCCACCAGTAACCATTCGCTCATGAGTAGATTCTGACTCCTGGCAACCTTCACGTATGCCAGAGTAGAACTGTGCTGCATGCGGTTTTCAATAGCTGTTTTTCAGAAGTATATCACTAGGCCTTTCTTCTGAGATCCCTCTGGTTAACCTCCAACCTTTCAGTTAACAGAGGAGTGTGCTTCTTGCAACAACCCTAAGGTTAACCCAAACCCACTGCCATCAAGTGGATTCCGACTCAGAGTAGATTTCTGCTCCTTAAGATTTCTGAGACTAAATCTTGATGGACGCAGACAGCCTCAGCTTTCTCTCATGGAGCTGCTGGTGGGTTTGTATCACCAACCTTGCTGTTTGTAGCCCGATGCTTAGCCCACAACACCATCAGGCTGGTATCTATTTTAGGAGAAGGCTGTTGTTGTTAAGTGCTGTCCAGTTGGTTCCGAATCATAACAACCCCGTATAAGGTTTCCAAGGCTTTTTAATCTTTGTGAAAACAGAAAGCTTCATCTTTCTCCTTTGGAGTGGCTGGAGGGCTTGAACCATGGACCAGGAGAAGAATAGTCACACACAAGCATGACACACTATAACTCTGAGTATTATGACTATACAGGTAGTCCCCGGCTATGACAGGGTTCCATTCTGACAACTCCATCATAAAGCAGTTCTGACATATGTTGATACAGTATTTCTGCATATAACATGCCCATGTAAATAACAAACACACTCACAGAACACACATAGTGCTCATAGGAAGCTAATGTGCCAGGAGGGTGTGTGGTTTGCAAAAACTGTAGAATGTATGCATTATTTGCATAAAAACATGATATATCTTTTTAAAGTTTTCATTATTATTGCTTTTTGTTATGATTTTCATTATTATTGCCTTACATTATTATCAGTATATTTTTAAACACCATCTTTGAACTTCGGCATGTGAACATCTAAAAATTAAAATATTAGCAAGTTATGTGCTGCAACACTACATATAGTGGTGGTGGTGGTGGTGGTTATGTGCCGTGGAGCTGGTTCCGACTCATAACAAGGTTGTAAATCATTACAGGAGCAGAAAGCCTCATCTTTTTCCTGAAGAGCTGCTGGTAGTTTTGAATTGCTGACTGTGAGATTAACAACCTGACTTGTAACCACTACACTACTATAGCTCCATATTATTAATGATGTTGTTGTTGTTGTGAAGTGCCGTCGAGTTGGTTCCGACTCATAGAGAACCTGCATAGGGTTTCCAAGGAGCAGCTGGTGAGCTTGAACTGCCAACCTTGCAGTTTAAACGGCTTTGCAGTCTGGTGCATTAAACCACATTGCCACACCAGGACTCCAGATTATTAATGATAAGGTGTACAAAAAGAAACTCCAGTTAGATTAAGTGTGGTTCATTGTAACCTGAGTAAATCCTAAATACAGAAGACTACCTGTAGTCATTGTGTTCCTGTTCATAATATCCTCGCTGCAAACAGATACAAAATGACCATAGGTTGCTGTTGTTGTTAAGTACTACTGAGTCAGTTCCGTAAAGGGTTTCTGAGGAGCAGCTGGTGGGTTTGAATTGTTGACCTTTCGGTCCAGCGCATTATCCTGTAGCACCACACCAGGACTCCCATTAAGTTTATTTGCCATGAAAATTTATAAATATGCAACCCTTCCCCAATGGTCTATGGATCAGACAGATACACCTGACCACACGGCACTGTCTTCTCATGCCCCATCCCCTGCAACACGGATAGGGTCTCAGTTCCTGTCTCCTCCTTCCATTATTCCTAGTATCTGGGGTGAGAATTCCTCAGCTTCCAGGATAATTACACTGAGAATTGCTATTGTGAGTGACCATTTTGGCATCTTTTGATCCTGAGATTCTATAGTTATTGGAGATGTCAAGCTGCAGAGCACTGGTTTGAATGTCTTTCATAAACTAGGACAGATTCTAAAAGCTGATGTAGACTAGGAAAATAAGAAGTAAACAAAATCAGGGCAGGCGGTAAATTTCCTGCCCCAAAGGTAAATCGATATGTAATACAAGTAAGCATAAAATACAGCTCTCAGTTTCACCAAATAGGAAATGTGGAGTATATTGCAGTTTTTGACAAGCCTGGAAATTATACCGGTGGTACTAGAGGAACTGAAGAGCCTAGATCACAAGCGTGGATTATTAAAGGAAAAAAAAACAAAGTAGTGTGTCACTCTCTAACCCATTACCAGTTTATTTTTTCATATGTAGTTATTTGTCTGTGCCTGTTATCCACCTGGGAGTCCTAGTGTGGCACTGTGTGTTAATGCATCAGACTGCAAAGTTGTTTGAACTGAAACATTGGTGGTTCAAGCTCACTAGCTGCTCCTTGGAAACCCTATAGAAGGTCGCTATGAGTCGGAATTGACTCGATGGCATTTAACAACAACAACAACATTGTCCACCTGGGCGTCCTGGTGTGGCACTGTGGGGTAATGCACTGGACTGTAAGGTCAGTCTGAACTGCAAGGTCAGTGGTTCAAGCTCACCTGGTGCTCCTTGGAAACCCTATACAGGGTCGCTATGAATCAGACTGGACCTGACGGCAATTAATAATGAACAGCAACAATTATCCACCTGAAGGAGCTCTGGTAGTGTGATGGTTATGAGTTGGATTCTAATCTCAATGTCAGCAGTTTGAAACTACCAGCGGTTCCACGGGAGAAAGATGAGGCTTTCTGCTCCCATAAAGATTTACAGCCTTGGGAACCCTATACAGGGTTCTGGTGAGTTGGAGCTGATTCCACAGAATATAACC